AAAAACCCAAACCAAACCAATGCAATACACAGCAGGTGCTCAAATCCATCTTGGGAAAATCTGTAATGAGCCTTACTAATGCTGCAATGGATAACAATCAAATATATATTGAGAAATACTGTATAGCTTTATCCCACTAAATTATTTAAAATCTGCAATCATCTCTAGAATATGTTTGTCCTCCCATCCATATAATTCTAGGCTATTTTTTAGAATCCACAGCCCATCTTAGAAACTATATTTGTATTTGAAATATAGCCATTCACAGTTTACCTGTTTTCATGGAACCATCTTTTATAACATTGAAAACAAGTTGCCAAAATAATTTTTAAATGAGAGATCAACCTTTAAGTTAGAAAATATTTCAGAATTATTAAATTCGGAGAAAAATTGCTGAGCAAGTCTTTATTTTCATCTGACAAAGGAACAAAATTGCAATCATATAATGCATACCAACAGAACATCATTCTGTAATCTCATCTCCTATTAAGCTGAACATAAGGCCAACTTTTAGCCATAACACGAATCTATAAAACACCAATCACTAATAGCTTCAAAAATATGCTCTTCTCTTATTCTAAAACAGAAAATTTTAATTTGTTTTTAAAATAGTAATTATGGAACTATGTTAGAAAGCAAAATTGGGTAACCTTAACTGGAAAGTTGATAGTTCATGTCAAATCCACTGTTTACTCAGAGAATTTAAATCAGATTAAGTTGCTTTGAGATCTAAAGTTAAAGGGATCATTTCTACTCATGACACTTTTTTTCAGGTAATACTGCTGAATCAGCCCTAAACTAATGAGGACTGAATAATTTACAGATGAGTGAAGTGAGCAAGACTACCTTAACTGAATCCCCAATTACCACTGAGGCTCAAAAATCTCCCTTGTTTCTTAATTATGCAAATTACTGAGGAAGTATATATCGCTTTCAAAAATTTATCACCACCTTTATTTAAATTCCTTTTATTTTGGATACCAGATTGTCCTGAAAGTGTATAATACACAAATGTCTCATTTTCTATTGCGTGCATCACGCCACCTTATAAACAAAATTCAACAAACTTCTCAGAAATTGTTTGAACTCCTAAACTTATTGCTCTAGGATGAAACATACAATTAAACTGAAAATTCTGTGGCCTCTTAGTGCCCCTGTCTCACAACATTCACAATTTGGAGAAAGGCTTGAAGTTAATTTGACTCTTTTCTGCACCATTCTGAACAAGAAACCTACTTCCTGAAAAAAAAGCAGCTCTCTGAAGAGAAACAATGTGTTCTATGCAGACACACTGCTGGGTTTTCATTCCTTAACTGCACCAATTCTGACTATGCTGGATACCAGCACAGTTCACATTTTGTAAATATTTACACACATTTTAAGCAGTGGAAGCAAGATTTCTGAATTTTAAGTGTCTCTGGATCTATTAGACACATATGATGCCATCTGGATGCAATTAATAGTAGGAGTCATGCATTAGGTCATGAAAACACCTAATTCTCCTACTCTTTTCAAACTTTTCTGTAGCCCAGTTGGTTAAAACAAATGTACAATCTAGCAAACTGAAAAAAAAATAGAATTTCCCCAATTTCTACCTACAGAGATTATAGCTACTATTCCAGGGCAACTTTGGTTTCTTCTTGGAATTTCTTCTTTATAGGGGACAATTTTAGGGGGAAATTTGCATTCTCAGGCAAGCAAAGTGGGTTGAGCTCCCCTAATCCTGAATGTAGGAAGACAGTTAAACAAGAGGTGAGCTAACAGTCAATGAAACAACTGTAAAATGGAGACAAAGTGCTAAAACAATTTATTAGACTTCAGAAACCACAACAGGAAAGTGGGACTGGTAGAAATTGTTCTAAAGGGAGTAATTCAGAAACCAAGAGTAGATGTCAACTTCACCACAATCACACACATTATAAAACCACAGAAACACAGAGCCCTCAGAGAATACTTTGAACTAACAAGGAGTAACATTGCTATGCAAAGCTCACTAATTAACTGCAACCTACACTCAAGTGTAATTTATAAAAAGATGCTTAGCCTTGTGAGCGGTGAGTCAAAGGAAAAGTTGCAAGCAGTTTATAGAATGAAAGGCATTGTGTAAAACTGTTCTTTGTGCTTACTACACCAAAACTAAATCTTCTCAGAATTTATTGCATGCTAACAAGAAAATTATTATTTTTAGTTAAATCCCACAGTTGCAAGCAAAATCCCAAGAGAGCTAATTGCACTTTTAAGTGAATATACAACATTTGAATATTAGCAGGAACAGTAAATTAACCTCATATTGCTGTTTAATCTATTTTTCAGAGAAATTCAAATCTTCCCTTTCATAATATTTTGCTTAGTAGGTCAATAGAGGCATGTAATAAAAAAAAAGTGTCCTTTTTCTTTAGTGGGGATGTGCAGCCTATCCATTGTGTTTACTTTGGCATTCTCTGACAGAATTTAATTTATTTTTCATGAACAATATAAACTAGACTTTAAACTGCTGGGGATCATTTTAAAATATGTCTGCAAATTCAACAGTGTTTTGAGTTCATACCACGCAGACCTTTGTTTTGTCCCTTTCTTAAGCACCAAATTAAGTTTCCTTATCCTTTAAAAGGAGGCAACCTATTGATTTTCAGTTCAGTATTGGGATTAGGAGAAATTATTTATACACAATGAAGTCTGGATAGGGTAGGGAGACAATGGCAGTCCCCTCCCTCTGAATCTTTCCAATTCATCAATGTACTATTCTAATATGATAAGGAAATTGTCTTAAATTTGTCCCAGAAGAAGGACTTTGTGTATTAGGAAACAATTCACAAAATCACATGGTGTTTCTTTGAACAATAAAGAATGCTGAAGTCCTTACAGCTGTAGAATCACTGATATTATTTGACAGTGTGTAAAACACACAACAGCTACCTAAGTTGCTTTTCTTTTCTCAACATAAGAATACCAAATAACAAGGAGATAAGAATATGATTCTGACTTTATTTCCAAATGCTGCTCTTACACATTCATAAATCCTGAAAAGTTTTTTGTTTTCAGGTGAAACTAAAACCTTTTTATCTTTGCCAGGCTAAGAGTTTAAAGTCTTCAACATTAACCACCCAAGTCAAACTCTACTGCAGATAATAGAGATTAAAACAACGGTGTTCACCTTACAGCAGCTCTGACTCCATTTGTGAAGTCCCCACCAGCACCTGTTACAGAAATAAGCCATCTAAAATAAAATCTCACTCTTTAAATCATTTTGATTGCAGTTTGAGAGGGAAAGGCAGGCAAAAGAAGATCAAGAAGTTTCAGAGAGCCTCTGTCACACTTGATAACACATTTAGGATGTATCACACTGAGTAAATGTAGCTGGACAGATAGATATGAACGAAAAAAATCTTTTTTTTCCTAAGTGCCACTGAAAACACCAGGATAATTCATGGCAGAATTTTATTAGAGGTTCTGACAGCTAAATGATTGTTTAATCCAAGACAGATTTTTTAAAGTGTATACATTTGTCTACAATTGCTTAAACTGTATTTGAGGTATCTCAAATTTACATCACCATGTTGGCTCAGGATGTACTTCATTTAAATAAAGATATGCTCAGCAGGATGTCACCTTGCAGAAGCTCTAAGCTCTGAAATGTAAGAAAAATCTTGATTCCAAACACTAAAAAAAACCTATTTCTCAGCTATACCTCAAGCCAGTCAGGCAAAATCAGTCATATCAATAGTCTAGCACACATTATTAGATTTGAAGGCATCCTGTGCAGTATTTTAACAGGAATTAGGGAAAAAGGAAAGCAAAAAGGAAAAAAGGTGGTAAAATAAATAACCATAGCAATCATATTGCCAATATCATTTTGTTCTTGCTTTTGTTTCAATTACATTTTCAACATTAACTCATCAAATAGTAGACAGACAGAATGTGTTTTGAGGCTGCAGTAAATATTATATCAGGGAAGAACTTCTGACACTGAATGATTTCTCTCCTTCCTTAGAAAAAAAATAGAAAAAAAAAGTGTCTTTCTAGTAAAAAATATTATCTCTGTCCAGTTCCTATATTTACTTGGAAAAAAACCACAAAAACCTCAAGTACATAATTTATGTTTGAATCTGCATTTTGCAGTGGAATGCTATAAAGGATAATAGGATATTTTTGTCCACAATATATGAACCTAACCTCTTGCTCTCAGATTCAGTAATAACATAAAGGCAATCCTTAACTGCTATTTCCTTTGAATGATCTAAATTCATCTGCAGCATAGCAACTCTGTAAATCACATACTAGTTTGATATAAGCTTTAATTATTATCCAAAATTATCTTTCATTTTCCTGTAACCATAAAATCCTAAACTAAAAAATTTGAGGATTTTATACGGAGTGCTGCATGTTCTACAAAACTAAATACACATTCCCAGAAACATCCCTTTCTAAGAGCAACTGATTGGCTTGTAAAAATCAGAATCATGTTCTACTAAGACATCCCATCTGAGTGTGCACTGCTCAGTTTCACATTTCTGAGCAGTCTTACATTTCATCTACTTTAACCAGTGATGTTTAAACACAGCAATAAGCATTTGAATATTTAACTGCTGAAAAATTGAACCTGACTACCCAGGGACAGGTAGTTTCTCTTGCATTCTCTTGTCCCACAGTCAACAAAAGTAATTTGGATCACTTTTCCAAGGAATATTCTGCTGGTAGCTTGCTACATTTGCCAGAGGCATGGAAGAGTTTTCAGCCCTCCCCCCAACCACCACCATTATTAGAGAAAGCTAATTAGCTCCAGCTAATTCCAGGGCTGCTGTGCAGAGAATTATTACATGCTTTACATACTAGTGCAGCTTCTCTGTGACCCTTTGATCCCACAAATCAGTTACAGAGGAATCTGGCTTTTTTGGAGAAGTTAAATCTGTACTTGTGTGTGGGGTTATGTGTCCCTGTTGCTGGACCCTGCCTTTTTCCGTGTTGAATTTCAGGATTAATTCTATTGCAGCTGAAACCATGACACAAAATCAGTGTTCCAGCCATTCTCTTGAGCAAATACTCTCTTCCAAGTAAATAGTAACTTTTAGCATTTCAATCTGGTAAGGTGAAACCTTGGGAGCTCATGTGTGATTTGTTTTAAATATGAGAATTCCTTAATATCCTACATGTGACTTGTACTAGTCATTAGCACCATTTAGCACATTTCTTTGAAGGCATAAACTTTCCTCTCTTTGGACAAAACCCTAGAATAAATTCCTCAAAGCAAATTTGTTTCAAATAAGTATCAATTACAGTTCCTCAAGTTACCTGAAGTGTATACTTCTGTATTTCATCCAGAACAAATTCCACTTCTTTTGAGGTTGTTAGTGATGCAAGATTTCCACTCAAATTGTAGCAATAGAGTTTGGCATTGTCGTAGCTTTCCCGACTGGAATTTATGTGGAGGCAGGCATCTCCAATGTGATTCCATCTTTCTCCACACAGGTGAGCTGGTGCAAAAAGCATACGATTAAAGCTGAAACAAAAAACTTTTATAAAACCCTAGGGAGCCTGAATTTTATCTTCCTGAGATCATAAATCAAAACGCATCCCACACTCAATTTCCCTTTTCACATCACATAAATTCTGAAATACCAAGTATCATCGTACAGAATCGTGTATTGTTATAGAAAGAAACTTCTAAGAACTTAAAAAATAGTTGTAAGATATATCCTAAGGTTCAGCATAATATTTTTATGCCACTATTTCTTCTTTGTATTAAGAATTGAGCACAACTAAATATTAAGATTAAATTATGTACATAGATATTCGTTTTAACAACTTCTTTTACTTAAATGTTATGTAAATTTCAAAATCTAATAACAACTGTCCTAGAATTGCGAAATCACGACTTTACACTATCCATGTTTTATCATATCTTTGCATTTATATTTTCCTAAACACTAATGCAATCCAAATGACAGAAAATTCAGATAACATCTCAGAAAATGTCTCTTCAACATTTTCAGCATTCCTCACTCAGATAACTATTCAAAGACAAGTAAGAGCAACTGTTATAGTCAATCTAAAAAGATTACATAAATACAGTTTTGAACTGCAGAGAATAAAGTTATTTAATTAATCATCTCTGAAAAAAAAAGTGTTCACTAACTTCATCTGGACATAAAGATCAAATGGAAAATATTCTGGCATTTAACTGCATATATGTAGCTATTAATATAAATTCCAAAATAAATACTATTTCAGAATGTTAACAGTCACCTTCTGAGAATATTTCATATTAGCATTTTAATATTCACTGCTTTCATAGTAGTACCAACATTAGAAAATGAAGAAACTGCATCTTGGGCCCTATCTGCACAGGAAAATTGAAGTACAATAGAATTATAACTTTTAAGGTAAAACCCATCTAGCAGAAGTAGCAATGTCAGTGCACATGTAACAGGAAAACCCTGGTAGGGCCATTCAGTTCTGCACTCAGTGCTCCCTGCAGGCCAGGGCTCATCCCTGCCTTGTGCAGAGGCACACAGCAGTATCTTCACTAATGCCATTATCTCCTCTAACACGATTAAAGGTAGCACTGATACCCCAATCAGAGGTGTAATCACATCCGAGTTCACCTGCACAGGCAGGCCAGAGGAGTGAGCACAAATAGAGCAAATCCATGTCTGCTCATGGACAAACATCAACGGAGATTTACTCCGTTTTGCAAGCAGCTGTGAGCAGCAGTGTCCCCTTACCAGGTAGTGCCTGGCACTCCTGCTGCCTCTGGTCCCACTGGCAGTTCAGGTGCAGGGAGCAGCTCTTGCAGCTCGTCAGTTTATTGCAGATCTGCTCATTCCTCACGTGACATTTCGTGTAGTTTTTAACCGACTGTAAAAATAAACAGACAAAGCAGCATCTCAAGCATACAGCTATGAAAAAAACAGATGTCAAAATGGACTTATGGAGCAGGTGGATCCCTCCCAGGAAATCATGGCCACCTAAAAGCTAGGCTGAATTTAAGTTCCTTATCTAGAATCCTTTAGAATGCAACACTGGAGCACAAATTACCCCAGCTTGTTCTACATTATGAGTGTCAAATTGAAGAGGCCAATTCCCTGTACAGAGAGCAGGAAGAGCTTAAAAAAACAAAGTAAACATTTGTTTCTTAAACAGTTCAGCGTTATACTTTCACTAAATTATTTCATCCTATGCAGGTTAAAGCAAGAAAAATAGTCAAACAGAACATAAAAAATGGTACAAGGTGCAAAATAACTACATATAACTGACTGAAGGTGCAAGAATATGTTCTACATATGACATAAACCTAGGAATAACTTTATTCCTTTGCTACCTTAGTACACAAGAAAAGCAGTAAACACTGGAGGAATTACTACCTGGGGGCTTTTATTGGGTTTGGTCGGTGTTTGGGTTTTTCCTGAAAACAGAGGTCTTCCAAGTTAAGACATTTTGAATACAAATCTTTCTTCCCTCTGCATAGTACTTTTAATTAAGAGACTGTATTGATACCTTATTTAATGAACTGCCCTAAATCCTCAGCCAATTCATCAGCTCACCTATAAGGTGAGCTTTCTCTCCCAACTTAATTTCAAGGTAATAATTAAAAGTAAGTCCTAATGCAAGACAGCTTTATACTCACAGAACAGTTGAGATTGGAAGGGACCTCTGGGAGTCCCTCTTGTTGAACCCTAACAAGGCTTGTCTCTCTTAAATAACAAAAGATTAAATTAATATATGGCAGCAAAAATGGATTGCACTTGGAGAGCAAATGCATGATTTATAGGCAATATTGGATGTTTTCCTTTCTAATAGCCTCCTGGAGTATGATTAAACAACTTATAAAGGGACTGCATGACAATAAGTTAAACAGTGGTACTGGAATACAGCAGTGATAGGGCAGGGGGGAGAAAAGCTGTCTTCTTTTATTTCTGTTTTTTTAATGTCCTGAAATAATGCATTTGTGAAAGTGAATTCTCAATCTCACACAGAACCGGCTTCATTCCTGCTGAACAACATTGCTGTTGAAGCATTTTATTTTTTTTTAATTTTGCCTTTATTGGATCAGATGCCTACCAGCAAGCTTATTATTAGAGGTCTTGACTTTTTTTCTGTTCTACAAGAAAGGCTACCGTGAAGCAAAAAGGACAAGAGAAGCAGGTCTAGGTGCAGACATCTGCACCACAACACGAAACAGAGCCAAAGGCAATGCCAGCAAGTAACAGACTATCTAGGCCCAAAATGCATACAACAGTAAAGCACCAAAAAAAAAAAATATATATATATATTTGGTACAAACCCACATGTAGCTTCACTCAGTCATGAAATACATTCACTAAACTGCCTGAGAGATGCTTTAAAGTAAATTTTAGAGCACAAGTAACCACCATCTGCTCATTTACAATAGCACAACTAATACTCACTTTCAACGCTTCATTTTGACATACCCTTAAGCATTCAGAGTTCTTTTTAAAATTATATACTCTTCAGTGGTATTACATACAGATTAGACTTTTGCACCTAAGCTGAGATATTTGTTCTATTACTTTTCTAATCATGAAGCTTGTTGTGTGCTAGTTATTTAATGTTTAAAATAAAATTCAAAGTACTAGTGACTGTTCTATAATAATGTTCTTTGTTGTATTCCCTTCTTCCCAGCATTTATTTCCCTTAAATCCAATTTAAACACTGCTTGCCTGAAAATCTCATTAGTTCAATGTAGATATGAATCCAATAGGTAATTCATATTAACACAATATTAAGGTTATAACTTAAACTACCAAACCCAATGAAATTCAGAAAGATGACAGTCCATCTGTTACAGAACTTCTATATTGCTGTAGGATATTTATAATGTTTATACACCAAAGCATGAGTAAGTCATGTTATGTATAAAGCCTCCCTCATGTATGATTTACATAGATTTTTGTAAGCACTGATCCTGATACAGTCATATATAGACAGACTTATGAACTGCAGTGATTTTCTGAATATTTACTGGAGAATGAAAATACTAGAATAGTTTATCCTAGAATTTCAGAAATTGCTATTAAATTATGTAGCTCTCTCCTACTCCTGGATTTTTCAGGTTAACAGTATAACCTTGTCTAGTTTGCCTAGTGTAAATGTAAATTGTTAATTTATAGATTTGCTATTATTTCCCTGAAGCTACTCCCAAAACTTACTACTGGGTACGTCTTACTCATAAATTTACTTTATTTCCTCCAAGATAAATATGATTCTATTCACATTTCCTTCTACTACTTCGTATATTTCCTCTTGACTATTCTTTGAATTCCTCAAATGTGGGCAGATTGCTATGATTACTATTATTGGTATTAACATATCATCCAAGGACTCTCATTTTGAAATAAGGAGTTTTCTGAAAGTGATGCAAACATTACAAAAAAACATGTATTTAATAATGTAGTACCATAGGTCTCTTTGAAGCCTCCTCTAGTAACCCATTTCCTCAGCAAAATGGATTTGACAATGTTTGTTTTATGTTGCCACACTCAGATAAAGAACGCTTTTAAATCACACACCAATCTGGGCTGGATTTAGGTAACTGTCATCAGCAGGGGCTTTATTGTATTGTACATGGGGAGACCAACACACAAGAAATTCAGAAACTGCTCCTGGCAGTAAGAGTGTGGCTGGTGTCGGTCAGAGAGGAAACATGTCCCTGTCGTAGGAACATGCCCTCCTTGGAGCTTCTGAATGCAATGACATTTTCAAAAATGCTATACTGGGCGGAGGCAAAAATTAAACAATTCAGTTGTGCCTCAACATACTAAGACTCTCTTTAAGGCTACTTGATCAATTCTTTTTTTCTCTTCAGAAACTGAAGAAAATTGACAAAGTACTCTGAAATTCAATCTCTCTCTGGTTTTCCTCAGTAAAAAAAAAAATGCATTTTGTTGCAGTCAGCGAGCCCTCACCATAAATTTACCATTTTATTTGGAAAAGTACATGAAGATTTTGCTTTCAGGGAGGAGCTTACTCTCCCATAGTACTAGTTCATGAAAAATGACACCTTGTAAAGGTGCAGCAATTGAAAATGAAATAAATTTCTCCCACAAAGCCTTTTCTTTTATCCTTTTTTTATTTCTTTTCCTTTTTTTGGTAAAGACTTGTTTCCAGTACAAAATATAGTCAGTTTTCTTCATATGATCAGCAGCAAGCGAGTGTCACTTTTATAGGATTCCAGATAAAGCATTTTAGGTGCAGACATAGACACTGAATAGAGTTTCATAAACATATTATGCAGATCCAGATCAACCAGTCATTGCAAGCCTCTGCTTGCAATGACATCAGGTATGAGTATGATATACATGATCTATATGATCTATACCTTGATGATGCATGGGTCTGCACACTAAGGGAATACAGCATCCTGTTAATGTGCTGGCTCACACCAGAGGGTGAGCACAGGCAGGTGAATGTGCATCATCAATGCATTAGCACTACTCGTGAAGTCCACCTGTCCACCAGGGTTATTTCAGGGAAATGCTCATATTTTCCATCAGCAGAGTAGCCACTGCTCTGCAGATATCTGTGACCATGAGGCAAATGTCAAAGTGGTTGACAGCACACCTTTAGTAAACTGGCCAGTTTCCATGAGGCAAGAGCAGCAGATTCTAAAACATTATTGCCTGTCTCATCTAGAGTTCTATGATCCAAGTCATAAATCAAGGCCTTTGTACACCTGCAAAGGTTCCTTGTGATGTTCCTAAGTCTACAGCTTTTTACCCCATAGTACCATCACAGTGCTGTCCCAACGTTTTCATTTGTGGGCCTAGTCCAGAATTAGCAGTCTATGAAAACAGATAATCAGCCTGATCCATTCTGGTTTTCCACATGGTGCCATTCTGTTGATGCTATTGTGGTGGGTTTATATCAAAGGTGAAAAATTCTGCCTTCATCATCTCACGGCCAATAGACAATTCTGCATCAGCCACCTTCCATTTATGACAGCACCTCTTTCCAGAAATAATTTTGATGAATTTTTGCTACCCCATTCTGCAGTAACTACACTAAAAGCCTTTGCTATCCACTTCAAACCCTGCACAAAGGACAGAAAATGATACAGAGCAGACTGGTGCGTCATTTGCTAATTAAGCTGACAATCTTAGTTATAAAAGGTTGTCCAAGAAGGACACTGAACCAAGAAGCTTGTGCTAAAATACCCAGTGCTCCACATTTATTAGGGATCATTTATTAAGAATGAAGATGATCTGCTCCTTAGCAACTATTCCTAGTTCAAGAGCTGAAAACCAGGGTTAGAATATTAGCACCTAATAGAGAACAATGTGTCAGGAAGAGAAGGGCCCTTGAAGATCACAAAGGAAACTAACCATTAGTGCCTGGAATGTGAAATCCCTCTGACAGACTTATAACATGGCTACTGATGAATTTGTGTCTGCATTGCTTTTATTAGGAGTGACTAGCTACAAATGCCAGTGATTAGAGCTGGCTGTGCTCACTCTGAACGGGCAAGATTTGAGTCACAGTCAATCCAACTCACACCTTAATTTGTCTGGAGAACAAGATTGATTTGCATCAAGTTCAAGCCAGAGAGCAAGATACTTTTACTAATGAAAGTGTGTAAAGAAAGGATTTTGAACTCAAGTACAGCCAGGTGTCTGTGGATAGCTGAAAAGTGTAAGGAGACAAAATTTATAAAAGCTGAAATACTATTATAAGCTTGACAAAAATCAAATTAACAAGCAAGGGATGCAGCAGCTGGTGAACAACAGCAAAGTATAAAACATGGCACTGGACACTATTAAAGAGAAAACATTTTTCTTTTTAATATTAAAAATTATATTTTAATATAATTTTATATTAAAAACATAAAATATTTTCTATTTTTAATATATAAATATATATATAAACATGCATGAATCTATGTGATCTGATTGTTTGTACTTAAACAGATCAGAAGCAACTCATCACAAGCCAATGGGCCTCATGGTTACAGAAGCTCACATTCCTTAAATGAAATGACAAGTGATTCCATGACAAAGAAAACCGTTTCTACGATGATCAATGATCACAAGACCATGACTAATGAGACTAGCCTGGTGCTGTTTGAAAGGGGAAAAACCAAACAGCACCCTTGAAGGGATTCCATGGTTTCTGCCTGTCTACTGTATGCCATGTACACACAAAATCCAAGTTAATAATGACTCTGGGACTTTTCAAATGTCATTAATTAGGGGATCATAGTATTCATCTTAAGAAATATATAGGAGGCAACACAATCCTGAAGAATACTTGTTTTACCGTGAAACAGATTTTTTTTTTTTTTTGCTGCATTCCAACTCTGTCTTCTGCAACATTTTTAGTTCGAAAGCCTGGCAAACAAGTTTGTGTTGAAAACATGCAGCCACTAGTCTACTAAACCTAGAAAAGTACTGATACCATACTCAGACTTGCAAGGACTCACCATGCTGCAGTTGCTGTTTGCTGAAATGCACTTCTTGTCGTCGCACCACTGGCAGCCGTTGGTGTTGGCGGTGCAGCTGGCGCAATCCGCGTACCGGTAACATCTGTCGTCTGCAGCAGCTGCCACACAAACCAAACAGAAACGCCCCACAGGAGGAGGATAACACCACGTTTTTAACACTTCTTCAGAGATTTTTCTGTTACACCCTTCGTTTGAACTCTAGCCATTCATGAGAGTTTAAGTTAGTGTAGGAAATTAATTCTATTCAGTTAATAGGATTTACTCCTTTAAAAATTCCTTTAGTAATAACTATATTTGAAGGTTCATAAGTGTCATATCAACTAAAGGAATATTCAGTGATTTACAGCATGAAAGCACTCTTAGCTCAATGCAAAAAATTAAGAGTATGAAAAACTTTTTTCAATTATTTTTCCTTCACTCTTTTAACATGGAAGAAAGATTCTCTTCAAATGTAGGATTCTATAAAAATATTAGATGGCTACGCAAGAAGACAAGATAAAAGTAGTAAATAAAACAAACTAAGACAGCTATGAGCAACACATGAATATTTTAGATGTTTGTAAATTAATTTATATACCTAATAATTACTGGTAAGTTAAAGCTCAGTCCTTCTACAAAATGCATTTGAAAAAGAGTTAATGTTATATTTTCAATAATGGGGCTTAGCCTAAAATTTAGGTTATGTAAAATCATTTGGGACACAAATTATTACTTCTGTTTAAAGGAGGTAAAGGTTTTAAAAATCACCATGATTCAAAATAGGAGAATTTGTACCATCTCCTACACTGATTATTGTGTTTAATTCCTGTTTGATCTGGCTCCTTTAGTTTCAGGTTCATGCAAGCTTAAAAGATTCTCTTGCCAGGGAAGTCATGTCATCCAAGAATTGATCTTTTAAAAACCACTACAATTTCTGCTTATCCTTTAATACTGACCATCAGCACTTTCTCAGATGATACTCTCAACCAGGTAACAACTGAGCCAAGTAATGTAAAAGAATGTATGAAAAATCGGCTTTTGGCTAAAAAAAATTACCACCTGAAACTGGAAGAATTTGACAGCAGTGAAACAGTGCTGTTCACACTTCTTCAGAGCTGGAATTACACAGACCTCATCTCTTCCAAGTTGAGCTGGACTTTATTTCCACTGCAGCACCTGAACTTTCAAAACTGCTCTAACTTTTTTGATTTTCCTTCAGCCTGTCTGTGCTTTGTTCTGTTTGGCTTTTATAAACACCTATTGCTGTGATCAGCTTTTTATAAGATCCACTTTTATCTGTATTACTTTTGAATTTAATGCCAAAAGATTTTTTGTTTTTCTATATAGATGAAACTTTCTACACTGTAGATCTCTAAAAGTTCTGAAACTGTACAAAAGCCATTTTCCAGAAAACTCTACCTGGACAATGTTGTTGTTATATCATGTACCTTTTTTTTTTCTGAGTTTGCGACTTTATAGCCAGTCTAGAAACAAGTAAAAGCTATCAGAAAAATAAAATGTCTTGAAGTGTTGATTAATAGCAGTGCTAGTAACTCTTCAACAAACATTAAACGCAGACTGGCAGTTTAATTGTATGGCAGTTTGTAAACACAGCACACAGCCAAAGTTTGGGGAAGCAATTTTACACTGTGCTGAAAGGAAAGATGCACAGAAAAAAATAGTAGGTTCGTGGAGCAGGGATAAATATTCTGTTCATGTGACATAGAAGAGCAACACTTTCACAAGAAATTTATTTGTGACAAGCCAAAATGCTTAGGAATAGGTTGGAACAGTTATTCATAACAGTAAATTGCTGTTTCAAACAATACAGCCATCACAATGCCACAGAGAAATCATATGACAAACTTGAACCCATCTGACACACTGCAAAGGGCTTGTTTGCCTCAGGTTTTTTTCCAGCTGTGCCTGTACTACATTCCTCTGTACAAATGCTCCTGTTTCATACCTGCTTCAAGCAGTGATGCTTTCCTCTCTTATAGGTACATAGAGGTATGGGAGTGCCATATGCCCATAACATCAGGCATCACTTGCAGTGGCCATTTGTGCTCTCACTGCTGTTCTGCTCTCCCTTAGCACCTTAAACTTGTGCTCTTTTGCATCTACTTCCCTGTATGTAAAATACAAAAGGACTCTATAACTGAATTATTTTTTTTTAAATATAGTCTAGATATCTCCTGCACTGGGCATTCTCACTCTTACATTCCAGTCACCACTTCCCTATGGCTACTTCTTTGGGGGTTGCCCACCCCCATCTCCTACATTGCATTACAAACCTGACTAGAATTCACTTACCTGTTTTCTTAGGGCATTTTGCTCTAAGGATATTATTAGCATGTCCAGATTCCCAAGATTCACAATGTTTCCTGTTCCACAGACACCTTATTCCTGGACGGGCATTTTTGCACAACTCTTCATCTCTGAATGCTTCACAATTAGGAGGCTTGTACACAAGAATGTCATTCAATAGAACACTTGAAAAACCCCCAAATATATACATGGACCTATTAGGAAAAAGAAAGGAAATTTAACTGTTATTGTAGACACATTTTCTTCATTTCTTATCCATCTTGATATACTATTAAAAATCCACATAGTAGTATTAAAAAAAAAAAATCTTATTCTTTCTCTAATAAATACTCTATCAGTGGTTCCTTTATTGATTACTTTTTCAATTTATATCTCCATGGAAGTTGAAAGTAAAAAAAAAATTGCTGAAAACTCCCTGTGCTGTATGTATTATGGAGTGGCATATCCCAAATGCCTAGAAAAACGATTGAAAAACTTTGGAAGAATGCACTCATTTTTGCAGTTAGATATTGAGAGCAGAGCATGAAATACTGGCCTGAAGAAAAAAGAACATTCTTCTCAAGACAGGCAGCAAGAATTGGCAAGATAGATATTTCTCTTAGGTAACATTTCTGGTGCAATAGCTGCTGACACAGGAACTAAAAGACTAAACCTGAGTCCTCACCCTCCTCATTAAAACTAAGAACAGTCTCAGGTAAAAGACAGTAATAAAAAACCTCTCTCTGCTGTATTATATACTCTTACAACAGAATTAATCACAGAGTTACCAAAAGCAGAAGTCTGGAGAGTGTCTTGTATTGAACTGTTTTGGTACCAAAAACCCTACCAAAAATACCAGTAAGTTGTTTAAGAAAAAAAAATTTAAAAGGCATTTTGAATGTAATTCATAGAAAGTGACAGTACTCCAAGTATTAGACATGGCTTAGATGGCATAAAACACACAAAACATAATGAAAAACTATCAGTTGCTGAATTAATTAATTCCAAGCAATTTTGTCTTAATAAATCTGTTCATTGATTAATGTCAAGTGTTCTGTGTACATACTTACAATTTAGTGCTATTTTTGTTAAAAGCAGTCACACTCTTCTTTGTAGCATTACTAATTACCTAATTTCTGATCTATACAGGATCCTTATGTAGAAGATGCATAAGTTGCCCACACACTTAAGTACTGACTTTATTCGTGTAATGAATAATGTAGAAGAGGCACAGTGACCTATAGTACTGCAAATTCAGATACTAGGCCAGCTGGCAACTAGCAAAAAAAATCTGAGACAAGTCAACAATATACTTTTCTTTAAGCCTGACTATTGTTTTCTACAACTTTTCCAACTTAATATTATCGAGTTGCTGGCAGGCTTTTCCTCCTTCAGGTGGTAAAGATAACTGTATCAGTATCATCAAAATCTTCCCTTTTTCCCAGCAAGGTTTAGTTACATGGTTATTTTATGATTGTAGAAGAATGAAGAATTATAGCATACTGCAAAGAGAAAAAGATTTCTCCCATCACACCTAAGTGAGGGTTACAGCTGGTACCAAATATCAAATTCAATGTAGCCCTCAATATGAGAAAACACCTCAGTACACCTCAAATGTCACTGAACAGATCCCACAGCCTGGCAGACTGGGGATTAGCTGTACTGATTACCTGATGAGCACCACTTTCCCTTTTAATAAGTTACATCAGTTCTTTTATTGAACCATACAAGTGTGATTTCTGCTACAGTTTTTTTCCTTCAGAAAAAATGGCAAGGAAAATTTAAGAGACACTTCATTTACCCATTACTGACAACAGCAGTGTGACCAAATCTGTTGACATCTCGATGCAGATTAGGTTTTGGTAAAATCTTCCATTCATCACAAGCTGAAAGACAAAAACACAAAGCATATAATCAAATAATTTGAAAAGTTTTCAGCAAAATACATGTGAAATATATTTTAGCAACTCGAGGATAAATCAACAGGTTATTTCTTTTAGAAGCATTTGTGAGTAGATGCTCCAAGAACCTGTCAGCAAAACTGATCTATCCTAACATTTATCAAGACCACAGGACATTCAAGAAGAGTCACTTTATTACATGTGCAGCTGTCTGCCTTCACAGCCAGTTTCAACACCCAGAGCAACAAGCCCTGCCATCATTGTTATCAAGGGATCAGTAATATTGTCCTCATGTTTACATGCTCTCAAATTACCTAAAGAGTTTCAATTTATAAGTATTTCATGGAATATCTATGGCAGTGAACTTAGTTCTTTTAGACAATGTTTTAAGATAAACTATCACTCCTCCAGCTGTGCAACCCATCTCATTATTGTCTTACTTTTGGTAACTTGATTTAAGTGTGCTACTAATTACCTTCCACATACTTAAGAGGAATGTTGTGTCAGGATCTCCATGTCAAATTAATTATTCAAGCACATTTCTTTTAGAACTGCTGTACACAATGTGGTTTAATTTTTCCTTTCCTGATAGGGTTTTAGTACTTTAGAACAACTAGTCCTTTCTTCCTTATTTCCTACTTAAACTTTACTGACTTCATATATTGAAATCCCACGGCAAAAGAAATAGGGAGCACCTACAGATTGAAACTTCAAGGAAATCCCTTTAAGTAGAGTAGAGTAAGGAAATACTTTTCTACAGAGCAAGCAAAACATTCCTAGAATTTATCCTACTTACAGGTTCTGGGGAGAGGTAGGGCAAACATTCAGGAAAACTGTAACCCTAATATGAAAGTTTTCTCATAAAAAAAAAAATCTGCTATACAAACAAAAATAAGGATTAAATCTAAAGTTGAAAAGGAGTTGAAGGGAAAGAAGCCTCTCCAATTTCTTCCAAATAAAAGCATGGCTTATTCACACATAAAGACATTTCATTTTAAGTCAGAGGCAAAGCTATCAACTTGGACACTAAGACAAAAAAGAAAAAAAAAAAATCTATTTGCTCAGCACCCTCTCCATAGTACAAAGTGGATAGAGTACTGCCTGTAGAAGCTGAAGTCAGAGTTAGTTACACAATGAAGCAGAAGTGTCCTAAAAATACCAAAAATGAGAAAAGGTAGCTGGCAGATAGCAAGGCTGTTGGGAACACATATTAAACCTGTTTCCAGAGTCTTAATGCAAGAGAGGTTTTGCATCATAGTGCTGAGTTCATTTACCTGTAAGATTGTAATGACAATCACATCTAAAGAAGGTATATGTACTTAATAGTAAAATTTGGGATAATTTATGTAAGTTACAGATGTGGTTAAAAAATAAAGAAATATCACCATCAGACCATACATTTCAAAAAAGATTTAAAATTTTTTAAATATTTTTTAAAAATCCCAAACTCCAAAAAAATAATCTTCCCTCCTATAAGAGACTTAGGGATCACAATTGCCTCAAACACCGTTAAGACCACAGAAGGACTTTGCCCTGAAGATAAGCACAGAATGGGACTGGCTATGGGCCTGGCAAAGTCTGGTTAGCACATCCTGGGAAATGCATGCAGACAAAAATTCCACTGTGGCAAACAAAGATCTCTCTCAGTCTTGTTACTCTCCCTGTCCCTCTCTGCTTCTTTCCATCTCTCCCTCCCTCACATTTACTCTTAAATAAAATCTGTGCTATTGGCTCGGGTATATAGTCTTTTTGCATCTTAATTTGGGTAGAGGCATCTCTCAATAGACAGATCAAAACACCTCCCTCCTCAGCTTAGAAAAACAGAAATGAATATTAGGGAATCCAGGAGGAACAAATTGTCTTCCAGGCTGGTCTCGTTCCCACTGTCAGAACAGTTCAACTCTGCCAGTGCTGCTGTTCTGGCATTTCAAATGCAGAAAATTATTGACAGCAGAAAATTATTGACAGCAACATCTTGTGCAGTCAGCATCCTGTTAGCCAAGCATGCTGGAACACCTCACACGAGGATGGACTCAGCACACAGGAGGGGATAGGATGGCACAGCTACGGCAGCAACGCCGCTAAATCAACTCGGGCTTCCACCAAATCACAGCCTGAGCCCATAAAGAGAGCTAGTGTGAGATCGTGGCTGTGATAAATAAATCAATTACCCCTCTTTATAGATTGGAAACCAACTAAAAAGCACATTATTACCAGAGTAAGGCAAATGGGTCAAACAACAATAATTTTGACGTCAGGTGGTGGACTCAGAATGGAATTAGCAGTGTAGAAAGCATAGCAAGTTTAATTCTTATAGGAGCAACACATCCCAAAAATTCTTACTTCTTTATCAACTTTTACCTTCTGTCACTATCATTGTTAACATTATGTTATCATAACACTATGGAATTATAAATACACTACATCTTTCACAATTGTTCTTTTCTTATTTTCTCTATTTAAATAGAGTGGTGAAAGTCTGTACATGCCAGAGAGATGGTCCTGAAACAGTTTCAGCCACAAAGATCACAGCACTAGAACACCAACTACCTACTTAATGATCATAAGTTTCTGATGAACTTGGGAGTAGTATTAAATATATCCATTCATAACACTGGCATTTGATGCCTCCAGGGTGTTTGACTTATGAAAGAAACTCAGACCAAGAAAATATATTTTTATTAGAAATAAGGGATCACAGTCCAATCATTAATTCTAATTCAAGAAAATATTTCCATTTTAAAAGCTATAAAAAACTTTTTAACAATTGACCAGCAAAATCTTACTGTTATACTGTAAAATCAAGTTCTTGATGGTGTTAAGTCACTGCACATTAACAGACACAGCACGCACGAGCTTGTGTGCCTTTGATGGTAAAGGAAACAATTTAGGAAACCCACACTCCATTTCCATCTGATTTTAAAACTCATACTAAATTTTCAACTGATCTCAGTAAGTGTTGACATTTATTTTCTTATTTTTAAAAACATAAATATTATCAATATAAATATATAGTCTTTCCTGTACTTAGAAATTTGTTTTAGAAAAAGTGGGATTTAACACCAAGGGAAGACCATAAAACCATAATAAAGGCTGGTTTTCAGATGAGGAACCCCTGAGGACTGGAGATATAATAATTCCTTTCTTACTGATGATATTTTTCAAACTGGCAGGTCTTTACCATAGAGTACAAGAAAAAAGAGGGAGGGAAGCTTATTACAAATAGCCTCCCCTCTTATCTCCTCCTAGTCTTCTCAATGACTACTGAACACTGAACAGAGCACTGTGCAAGAAAAATACTTTTGCTCAGCTTTCAATTCCTGATTTGAGTTTCTCTGTATAGTTGATTAATACAAAATACAGATAACTAGCCAACTGATGTGATGGTGTTTTTCAGTAAAGAATCAAATAGAATTCATCCCTGCCCATCAGCTTCAAATTTCTTTTGAACACTCTAAGCACCCAGATTCCCAGACTTCACTGTACCGTCCCAAGAAAAAAAAAGACAAATGACAAATGTAATGATTTCCAACATGACTTATCAATATTGCAGCATTCCGTGTGTTGTGTGTATTATATCAAGTCTAATAATGATGGTAAACTCTGTGCAGTAAAGAATAAAGTATTTTCCTCCATAAAATGTTATGCCCTCTAGGCATTATACTGATAGGAAGTGGAAGATATAGTATTAGTTGTATCTGTTCTATCTGTAACCAGGTACAACACATAGCACATGGAAGCACTTTCTGCTTTTAATAGAACCAGTTACCAAGCAGATAAAGAAATAATACTATTTATTCCAAACTGATTAGCAGAATTATTAGTCACTGAAAAGTACAGGGAAAAATAAAGGGTTTTTTTGTTTTTTTCTTTCGATTTCTAATAAATTGTTTTTATTTCTATTTCTACTTCTGCTTTAAGAACAAACTATACCAGGTTGTAACATTAAAAGAAAAAGTTTTATCCTTCTCCCTGGTGTAGATTGAATGGTTACCAGATGATACAGAAGTGGCTCTGACAGTGAATCGCCAGTCACACACATTTCTGTGATGAAACACAACAGAAATGGACTGGATTCGAAGCAATTCAGCTGATTCTGGCAGAGAAAATCCCCACTTGAACTTTTCACAGGGTATTGCTCTCCAGAGCCCTCACTTCAACAGGTCAGGCCTCAGCACATCTCATCTACAACGTGCTGGCAACATTGCATTACTGATATCAGAGAGGATGACCTGGACGTTTCAGAGGAAAGTTCTCAATGCTCCAACAGTATTTGAACATAGAATATAATTTTAAAATTTTAAATAAGATTAGGCTTACCAAAATGTGACTGAACAGAGGAAAAAAATAATAGAAAAAAAAATAGCATTGTTAAAAATAGGAAGCAAAAGTTGTTAGGACAGTCTTTAAAAAGAGGCAGCCAACGTTCCATACTTCACCTCCAGGATCACATTTGTATTTTGGCACTGGCAGCCTGATTCAGTGACAACCTCTTACTGCATTAGGAGCTTTGTTTTAAGAGAAGGTATATGAAACCACTTACTTTGTGCTTACATTTATCCAATCATTTCGGAAATTCAAATTATTTAAATAGATTTGAAATGCCAGTGTATTTATTCTGCTCAATCACACTCTGCAACACTGCATTGCAGCCTTATGTGCTACATAGAATCCAATGCCAGCTTATGCTTCTATTTTCTCTTTACATATCTCTAATAATTACTAAGTTCATTTTTCTTTGGTAAAAGAGGTAATGCTGGTTCACAACATATGGACACCACTATACTTCTGTCTAGTTCTCATTTGAGTCTGGACAACTAAACACTGAACATAAACAACTAAAATATCACAAAAGTTATGTACTAGTAGGAAACTTATTTTCTGAGTCTTTCTATGCTGCATAAATATTTTTCTTTAATCAGATCTCCTTACTCTCAGGAAAACACAATGGCAAGTACTTTCAAAACAGCATGAATTGAATTTAAACTATAGAACTAACATCTTCAACAGAGTTTATACTCATAACAGTGACTCCCCAAGCAATATAAAGAAATCAACAACCTTACACTTTGCTGTTAAAGGGAGCAATTAGTGCATTATATTATTATAGCTTTGCTCTTCTAATAGCACAGCAATATGGAGGTAATTGCTGTTACAGACTGCACCAAAACTGCATTTATAACTTAAGTGCTCAGGAACGCATAAAACTTAATCTTTCACAGGCACTGCTTTACATTTTCTTTGTGATGGCACATTGATAATCCACTTGTAACTCCAGAAACTGGGAGAACAGCAAAAATAGATGTGTTCATATTGGAAAAAAAAATTACAGATATTTAAACTACTTCATTTTGTTAATGACAAAGCCTAGAAATGAAACAATTTACTTTACAAGCAAACAATTTATGAATAAACAATTCATTTTATTACAAAATACAAGCAATATGTTTGATTACAAGTGGAACTAAAGTCAATCTCCTGAGATAATTTTGAATTTTTTTCCAGAAAGGAGAATGTTTTTAAGCTTTGTGTGAATACCCTAGAAGAAAATTAATACTTCATATGCAATATTGTCTTTCATAAGCAATTCAATTTGCATACTATTTAATCCATAATAATAAACTGAAATCCAGATAGTAACAAAAGAAATATTGTGGAGTATATTATTAGTGTAAGCATAGGGGTTATTGCACTTCTCCCACAGATCCAAAAAATGCAGAACTCCAACCACCACTAGGAGAAAGCACAGAAACAGCTGTCATTTTCCCAGGATTTCAGGTTTTGGCTTTTTTAGATTCCTTGTCATTAATTCTCTGTATATATCAAGGGTATCCAGACACCTTAGCAGCATTGTTCTAAATGTGGAACAAAAGGACAGAGACTGAATACTTCACAACTCAAATCTAAGGAACTTAGGCATGCAGAGATATATTTACTAACTGCACCATTTGGCCAGAAACTACAATAACTATAATAATTATAATAAATATCCTTACTCTTTAGAAAAAAGCTTTTCTTTAATTGTATTTTACTAGTGGTCTAATTAGTTAGAATCTGTTTTAAACTCTGATTCTGTGTGTCTAATTAATCAGTTTTTATTGGCAAATTCTGCATGTGAATACTCATAAAGCATAATCTAAATTACTTTTCTAAGATCTGATTGGAACAGAAATGTAAGTTTTAGGGGGCCCTTGTAAAAAAAAGCCATAACCAACATCATTTAGAAAACTGCAGGTCAACCACAGAATTTAAGTCTATCCCCATTGCCAAGGTTCCACTTTCAGATTAATGAGGTAATAATAGCACATTTGGAAAATACCTGACCTCTACAAAAATGACCCTATATGGATCTTTAAGGGGCTTCCAAAGCAACCCAGGGGCAACCTGGTGGTAAAATATCAAAGCAGAATAGAAGTACACCAAGGTCAGATTTCTAAAGCTTTTTTTTGTAATGCATCAGTCTTCTTATAATATATTTACTGCTATATAAGTTAATACATCAAGCAATATTAAATTATGAAAATTATAGTGCCATACCATTTTTTTGTAATGCCTCGCCATCTCAGTGTCTTCACCATAAACAAATATGCAATTGGTATTTCAAATTACTGAACTGAACTCTTGGCTCACGACACATTTAAATGTCTAAAACTTGTTATAGACTAAACTCAGAACTTAGAGAGTAATGACTGATTCAGAAAAGCAGGGGGGGGACGTAACAGTCCCTAAGCTTGTTAAATAAGTTGCTCTCTGGAGATTCTTATGTCTGTGTCTGGACTAGAGGAGTGTGGAGTACCAAAGTGCATTAGAAACCAACCCTTCAGAAAGCTAAGCTTGACTGAGATGAAGCCACACAAACAGTTATTCCACATTAATATGAAAAACAGTGTTTCCACGGGTAATAAAAAGCTGAAGCAATCTATCCAGAGGACTATGTCACATATAATAAGAGATAATCAAAAGTATTCTCTAGCCCAACTTGAACATAAATAGCATAGGCTCTATCTCCAGGATTCAGCTGGTTTCCAGACAGCACCCATTTTTTATAAGACAAGGCACAACACTCCATCACTTGCAAGGTATCTAGGAAAAGTGATGATGATAGCATCGTATATTTTTTCTTCCAAGCATTGTTCAAAAACTCATGAAACAAAGTAAATAAGATTCTGAAATATACCTATTGAGTAATTATTTAATTCTTCATAAAATATGTCAAGTTTTCTGAAAAATGTCTTTATCAAATGTGTACTGTGAGATTTGTTTCTAAGTTGGTGAAATTAATATTACAGAAGAATAAGTCTGATTCAAATCAATCTTCATAAATTCCATTAACATGAATTACTACATCCAAAGAGTAATTACTACATCCACTTCTTTTGTTCTTCATCAGTTTCATAACACATGAAGAATATGACTTGCAAGAGAATACAAATACCAAATTAAATATTATAACCATCTAGACAAACCAAAATATTGTTCTACTTAAGAAAAAACGGTATAAAACATTTTCATGAAAGATGATAAGAAACTACTGGTGTGTGAAAGTCAGAAATTTACGTTAATTCTAATTTTAGGTCTCACACTATTAATCGGTAAGTACACATTCTACAAATAAATGTAGACCAATAAATACTACTATGCTCCAAAATAAGAAAAGAGCTCTGTTTCATAAAAAATTAAATCTACATATAAACTGAAGAGAGAATAAAATCAATAGCTCACTCCATCAGATGCCTATAAGAAGCTATGGAATATGCAATACAGGGATACAGAAAAAAAACTCAGGTGTTTTGCTAAGGTATTATTTGCACACCCATTAAAACTGGCAGGAAATAATGCATATATGTTCCATGTACTGAAATTAGTCATTATTTTATCTAAGCAAAGACATTGCACTGATATCTACAGTGAATGCCATAAAAAGCCATTAACTAGTCCTAAAAGAAGGATCATGTCTCAGCCTCTTCTACCACTGTAGGCAGCTGATAAACGCTTGCCAAAAGTAGATCCAGGCAATATCCACAGGCTATTCTCACCAGGAGCATGTATGAGTCCATTTCCTAGGCTGCTCTGACACATTTCCCATTTTTTGGCTCCCAGGACAAGTGGCAGTGTTTTTTTGGCCCCAGTGTGTGCTGTGTGATTATATTTAAAGCCCAAATATGAGCTACATGTTTATATGTAAAGCCTATGCATAAAATATGGACCTGAACATCAGAGAAGGGAAAAACTATTTATGGTAAGAACAGCAGTGGCATAAGATAGGAAAAAGATTATGGACTATTAAATTCTATTTATAGTCTCTGTAATGTTATAGGGAAGCTTTTCCGTAAGTGTACAGCTCAAAGGGTTGGAACCAGAATGAAAGCTGACACCCACCTAGTCTTGTCTTATCAGTTTTCCTCCAAACTGTATTCTTATCATATATTTACAAATAACAATCTTTTCTGCTCTCAGCCACAGTCCTGTGAAATTAAATACACCACATCCTTTTAACATCTCCTAAAGGCTCCTCATGCTTCACTCAGCCTTAATACCACTTGACATGTAGAGCCTTTTTTGAGTTTGCCTTCCTTAAAAGGATGTTGCCAAAATACTACAAAAATATCCAGGGCCTTGAGAATGGCATGGATGCTGCTATGCCTTGCCCGAAAAACCAAAATCTTTAGACAAAATGGAACAAAAACCTGTAAGATTTATACATAACTTCAAGGTGTTTGGGATCAAAACTTTAAAGAATAACATTAGCTGGACTTGAGAAAGCAAAATCATGGTATTTAAAACTAGAATGAGAAAAAAACAGTACAATACATACCTATATCATATGCGAGAAAGTCAGCAGAAAAACACTTTGCACCATTGCTCAAGGAAGTATCATTATGAGTGTTTCCACCAAAAATGAGCATAGCTCCATTGATTAGGACAGCTGAATGAAGGTATCTTGCAAAGCCACTCTCTTTCAAAATGGTCCTACAAAACATAAGAACAAATGCATACTAACACATGAAAAACTGTATATGGGCATCAAGAAAATTTGTACATGAAAGCAATAAGCATGAGAAAAATAGTAAACTATAGCTATTACTCAGTAAACGCAATGGCATTTACTCAGATTGTTTCGGGGATTATACATTTTCTTATGATACAAAAAATAGGTGTTTATTTAAAATATCACACTTTTTGTTAAAATAAAACAGTTTGCCAAACAATATAGCTGAAGTTAATTTTAACATGTTTACATTCTTCAGAAATGATTACTGATGGTAAATTTTACTCAAAACTGAATAAAATAGTATTCACAGTATTGATAGTATCCATTTATAGTATTAACACAATGATAATTCATGATTCATAGTATTAATTCCTGTTCTTATATATCCTTAGCCATGTTGGTTTTTTGCTCAAGAAATGCAATAAAATATTGTTTAGAAGGTTAAAATAATCTTTAGACCATCCTAAATACTGCAAAAGGAAAAACATTCTTTTTTCTAATCAATTGAACATTCGGTCCTGGGAAAGAAATGGTAGAAGGCACTCTAGGTATGATGAAAACACTTGCACTGCTTCATAAACTAATTCACACTGGTAAACTCAAACATAGTGAACCTCAGTACTAAAAAACAAAACTGTGCAGGCACATGGAGGCTTTGATCTCTCCCTTTATTCACTTTAGCCTCTGTGTGTGTGGTCTGCTTTGTGCCAGAGCAATGGCACAGCCCCAAGAGTAGCCAAGAGCTATCAATGCCACAGTTTGAAAGGGGCAGATGTGGGGCCAGTAGAAAGCACAGAATACAAACTTGATTCAATCCCAGCAAATAAATCTTACCAAGGAAGAGAGTAACCATTTGTGGGTTTTGCCAGATGAATTAGTTAAGCAGACCAGCTGTAGACATGTTTGTGAAGAGCTGATTAGATCACCAGTACAAAATATCTTTTGCATTCTCCTAATAACCTTTCATTGTCTCAGTAATCTAAGTTTACAAGTTTAGACTCTCATTTTCATTTATGTCACTACACTTACTGCTTAAATCTACAATTAAACTGTTAGTCATTCATTTCCTGTAACAAACTGACTCAACAATATTTCCTTATGATTGAATAATACTGTCTCTCTTGACTCACTCTCATATTTGCTCAGTATTTTTACATCATCATCATGTTTAAGGGAGAGAGTTTAAAGTACATCTCAATTTTCTTACATAATAGCATAAACCAATCAACAAAGTTGAAATATTTTAAGTTATAAAAGACTGCATGTTTAAACAAGTTGAAAAGAAGGCATCAAACCTGAATTTTCATATGGTTATTGAAATAAATTCCCCCTAGCCCTGGAAAGTAACATTAAAAAAAAAAAAAAAAAAAATCGAAGACTACATGAAAATAAATTAGCTTTTTTATTGCTTAAAATTGTGACAATTCCTCCAATCCACTTACATACCCACCTGCTTTCGACTCTTTTTTTTTTGGTCCTGTTAAACGACTTACGTTTCTCTTGTGTATTTCTGATTAACATACTTTGAAAACAGAGCACCACATAAGTGTGCTTTTTTAACCACAAACTGGCTTGATACAAGACACTTATGGCACCCCCAGATAAATGTGGTATTCGGGTTCAACTCCTCAGTTAGCAACACGGAAAAATCAGAATTACATGAAAGTGGAACAAGGCGTTATTTTTAAGTTATTTTCAACTAGCTATGGAGGAATTCTGCTGCTATGACCTGAAAGAATGATAATATCCTAAGAACATGTTATCTTTGTCCATTTGGACTACAGACACCTTTCTGTCTTTTGCTTCTCCAGTTTTGTACAGCCCCTACTGCCTAATTTACACTAATTGCTATACACTAGGCTCTGCCTTGATGATCCTGCCTCGCAGCTGTCTACAAATAGTTGTGTTGATCACTAAAGGCTTGAAGAGACATATACTGCTCTGGGGAAAACTAAGGATTCTCCTCTATACAGTGGGTACAAAAAAATCTCAACAGGTTTCCTTTTTTGGGCTGCTCACTCTTCTACACCCAAAACTGTGTTGCCCCACTCCTGCTCCCTACCATAGTGTGGGTTTTTTTTTTTCCCTCGTGTGCTGAGTTTCATCCCTCCAAGGAACAGCAACTTTTCCTCAAGATTCAGCAGAACTGGAAGTTTGCTAATTTGGCCATGATTTTCACTATTCATTAGCATCACTAATGAGGGCAATCTAGAGAGCTCTCCAACACATATCAACCCCATGCAAATTCTGTGAGTGTCTCAGCACGCTTTCCCCGAATCCATTATTTATGCACATATTCGTGTATCTGCAAACATTATTTTGTGTTAACTATGCCAGTGCCAAGTGCTGCACGAATCTCTAATGGTAACAGAAATACCCAGGAGCCAGCAGGTGCTTCCACAGCTTCAGGCCATTATCCAAGCCCAGTTCCACATTGTGCCCCAGCTGCAGCAGCAGGGCAGTAATGCACAGCAATGCAGGTATTGCCAACACTAATTCCCCATCGTGTATTAGGAATACAGCTCACACAAGGAATCAAAATATTGCCCCCTCACATTCCAAGAAACATAAAGCTTGTTGAATTGATATTAAGAAATGAAAACTTACATGCAACTGACTGAGTTGAACAAGTAATCAGATTTGTATACCTCAACTGAAGCCTATGAACCTCTGCCAGATCAGCCAGAGAAATGGAATGAATGCCAGTGAGGACCAGCAAATGGCATGGACATGGACATGAGAGAGCCATCAAAATTCCAGCTCTTCCTCATGCCACACCTATCCAGTACCACATTCAGCCTCTTACCTCACCAAGTGCTTTGAATGCTAATCAAAAGGTATCAGAGATACAGTAACCCTTCAGATTTTATTACTATGTGTCATTACTCCATCCTCTGAGCCCATTTTCTGTCCCATAGTAAAACTCAGTGCCAGTGTAAATCTCACAAAACAAAGATGAGTTTTCTAAAAGCTGCAGAGAATGCTACATTAGTATAGAGTCAACCGAAGTATTCTTTATTGGTTTTTATGTGAATAATGCATAAAAATATTCCAGCAATTATTACTATTTTATTGTTGAACAGACGATCAAAGGAAAAAAATATCACTTTGTTGCAAAAATAGAGTAAGAAAGCATTAAAATTCCAAGAACTTAGAAATACATTAAAAGGAAAAAAAAATTCTTGCATGAATATTTCCAAATGCCATGAGTTAATGGTATTAAGAACCTCAGTGAAATCAAACCCATGTTTCCAAAATCTGAGAGCAAGTTTTGGGTGTTTAAAGTGAAGCCATTAGTACTCTGAACAAACATTAAATTGCAAGAATAAAATGTTCAAAGCAATAGTTCTTGATCTCAAATCATCTCTAAGGTAAGAAAAAACAGTCAAGGTCACTTTCTGTACATGACATACAAGTAGCTTTCATAAGTTACAATAAACTTGAGGAACAAGGAACTGATAGAAATAGAAACACCAAGAGTATTCATAACTAAGGATTCCTACATAATACCAGAGATTTTTCTCTCTTATTTCTGATAGTTTTGTGCAAAATAACCTTCCACAGTTCTTAGGATTTTCTATTTCTTAAAATAACAGCCACTGTAACGTAGACCAGCAGTATATTCACACCATGAGGAAACAGTTCACATGTGCTATATCTGCACAGTGGTTGTGTCTGGAAAGGAGAACCTTTTCCTAATTTATAGAACATGCACAAAGCTTGCTTCCTGCCATCCTTTCAATGAATAGCTCCACTAATCCATTGACTCAAGTCTGGCCCCTCATCACAATTCTTCCATTTTGTTGCATAGAACTTGTTCTGAAACGTGCACAGGACATAAAGGTACCTGCATGACTTTTCTAGCACCTTACTCTACACTTCTGTTTTCTTCAGTAACCTCTAACTTCGTTTCCTACATTATAAATCCAACTTACCATGTCCGACTGTTAACCTCATATCTGTAAAGATCATCCACCAATCCATATTTATTGCCTGGCAATGCTTTGTATCCACCATGGACATAAATAGATTTTGTCAATTCATCATAGACACTGGTATGGCCATATCCACCTTGAACAATTGCTCCTTTCGTTTCTGGTACAAGCCATGAGTTAGACCCTTGAAGAAACATTAAAAAAAAACCAAAACATAATTTAAAGGTTTATTACTGCTAAATCACAGTACTAGGATTTTTAAGTATATAAAATAATTTCCAATATAATTTTAAACACAGCAATGACTATTGGGATTTGTTTTAAGAAGTAGTTTTATATTAATGTATCAAAATATCTGCAATTAGATAATGTTGTCAGACTATTATCTGCTACCCTTAATCAAACCACCACATCATTGTTACAGCTGCCAGGCAGTACCTCATCCTCCCCTACGTGTGACTTCAGCACTCACATTAAACAAACAAAAAAAAAGCCCAAAGCTTTTCGAAAATATGAAATTAGGAGTTATGATTAATTCTCGCCAGAGATGGCTGATGAGAATTCAGTGCTCCAGCTCCTTCAGATTCATTAGGAACACCTGTGCTCAGTCATGGGGAGTCTGGAGGAGCCTGGCAGACTGAACTGCAGTGAGTCATGAGAATCACATAACATAAGGTAGCTCCAAGTGTGCATGGATATGGGCAGACACTTTGGGAGTAACTGCAAAATTATTGAGCTAAAATCCATTTCCAACCACTGTTTCTTAGTTGTTTAACTGCAAATATACCCATTCAATTGCAGAACACTCACAAAAGAATAATTTGATAGCAGCTCATTAAATTGGCATTTAAGTCCACATTTTACACCACATGATTAATAACTGCAAAGAGACACCAATAAAACCAGCCACAATAGCTGTTATGACTGAAGAAGAGACTACAACTGGAAAATATTTTACCTTAGCAAAAAAAGACAGCTCTTAAGTGAGTTCCTGCTGCCTGTAGCCCCAAAATGTCTTTTTCTCCCCCCTCCATCTTTCCAGATGATGATATAAGCCACAAAAAGAGCAAGCCAGGAGGCATTTCCTGCACAAGGCAGCCTCTACAGAAGAGCCTGTGAGGACTGCAAGTCAGTGCTACAGACGTGAAACAGAAGAAATAATTCACTTCCAGCCTCTTGGAGATTGTCAGACAAACAGAGAGTCTGGACAAGGACATTCAAAATGGAGCAGTCTCCCAATTCTTAACCTCAACTGGCTGCCATTATAAAGGTACTTATCCAAGGCTAGCACACAACACCATACACCTTGCTTCCTCTCAAAGTCAGGTTAAATCCCATTTCAATTTTTATCTGATATTATGTAGGTAACTTAGATTAACTCTTTCCTCCAGATTCTCATGAAGACGCTCGTGATTTTCAGTTATTACTTTTGCTATCATACTTTCCTTAAATAGTTTCCAGGCACTGCCTCTATAAGTTACATTTTTTTCAGTAACACGTGCTTATAGCTAGTTATAAAGTATAGATTCTGAGGAAGAATTGTGATTATTTCTGTGTATATGAATGCTGGTATTTGTGTAATACACTATTTATAGCTGACACAGAATATTTACATTATTTATGTGTGGTGTAATGTAAGCAGTATTTTATTCCAATCCCCATGTTGGATATTATCAAGCTATGAAGAAGTGCAATTTGAACACAAATATGAAATTTGTACTGATAATACTGTATATTGCATACATATTACTTTGATAAAGATTTACTTGATACAGTTTCTGTAAGAGGGCTGGTGAGGAGTCAGCCTGCAGATACTGTTGGTAATAGACAAGTGTATCTTCATTTATTTATTGAATGATCAGTCCTAGAGATTGGCATATACGTTTTTCAGGGGAAAAGAACTATTTCTCCACATATATTGGCACAATGCTGTTGATAATATGCATAACAGAATACTCTGCATTTCTATCTGACTGGTTCATGTAGTATTTATGGAGCATTATGGTTTATGTAGCAGTGGTCATATTTGATGATCTTTTCCAACCTAAAGGGGTCTATGGTCCTGTGTAGCCTTTAGAACACTGTCACAGTAACACTGCATATTGCATCACTTCATGGGGTAAGCAGAAATATGAAAATCTGCTCCTTCTTGAATTTAAAAAAAAAAAAAAAAAAGTGCTATGAATAACTACCTAAATTCAATAAAAGAGTTCCAGCAACATCTTGCTGAAATAAAGGCCAAAAGCAAGGTTACAGTTGCTCCATCTACTTCCCATTCTAAAATTTAGCTGAGTTGCCTGAATTTCAATTACTGAATTGTGTACATACAGTTTTGATATCATTCACACTTCAGCATCTTGAATATTGCATCATTCAGACAAAAATACAATCCTGTCTGTATTTAAAATCATTATTATGCACATGATCTGACTTTTTGAAGCAGCTTATTGATATAAATCTTCACCTACCTTTTTTAAACAAAAGTTTAATTTTTATTGAAAGTGTTTACATAACCCTTCTCATATTCAGATCCCCCTCTATCATTATATCATGAGAATATAGAAATATATATAAGAATAAGAAGTACTTGATTGATCAAATTAGTGAAACTGCATTCTCAACAGCTTAAAAAGCCAAATGCAGATACAGCTTCATGAAAAAACAAGCCAGAAATAAGGAAATTGGAGTTTTTAAAATTATTTAACTTTAACAAAAAAGAGGAGGCATGTTACATCATGGGGCCATTTCTTTTTACATGATTTCAAAGAAATACTTTTAATCAAAAAGCAATCTATAATCTACTTCTAAAGCTATAAAAAAATCACTCTAAAATACAGTGATATTATGTTAATCCAAAGAAATCTCGGTCTTGTAAAAGAAATAAAATCAAATCACAGAAGACTTCTTCTGAAGTTTCTTAATATATAAGAAGCCTTTATAAACCTCAGGTAAAACAAAACACAATTATTACCTTCACCTTGAGACTCACAGTGAGATTCTTAGAAGACTTATGAGGTATTGCTAACCTAAAGGGAAATAAATTTCCCTGGGGAGTAGCCCAGAAAAGCTTTATGGTCCAAGTTAGTAAAAATCATTCACATAATTCCCATATCAGGATTTACTGGTTCCTCAGAAGTCATAAGTCTGGGTGCAGCAAGAAAGGAAAACAGGAACCTCTTTTCTTCCTGCAGCAACCACCACATCTTTGGAGTGGAATAAATTCACGTGCCTTTGCACGGTGAAAATCTGCCTGCAAACCCTATCCAATTATTCCACAATTTATTTTACTCTGATAGAAATTACTTTCTCCCCTAATCTGACAATGCCAAAGACATTTTGAGATTGAGTACACCTTTGATTGGCATGTTTTATTAACAAGAAGTACATACCTACATGAAAAGGTAGCAATTTCTACTTATTTAAATTATTCCACAATTGTTCCACAATCATTTAAAACTTCTTCATGTATTTCTTAACCTAGACCCCATGGAAATCATGGTCACAGCAACAAAAGAAGGCTTTAGCATCAGAATTCCATGTAGCAAGTTCAAAGTTCAAAGTACTGGATCCTAGAGGTCTCAGTTCAAACGAACCCAAGGATGCCTCTATGTCTTTTTTTCAGTAGGCATGTGGTAAATGCTTGAAAAATAGCCTTCATTAGGACCAAAAGCCATTACTGATAACATGTAGAAAGATAACAGTACCATTTCAAATGTTAAAGTAATATGCTTTTAAAGCAAGCAGAGAAAGAAAAAACTGGGTTCTTATTTAACGCCAGAAGCCCTTATTTTTATAAAATTTCCTTTCCTGTTCAGGCGAGTTCACAGGAATACTTCTCAATTCCCATTTCTTTTAAGTATGGATCCTGAACTGCTAAAGTCCTCCCAAAAAATAGTCAGTCATTCTTAATTCAAACCACCAGCTGGAATTTTATGGTTAAAAATGTGTTCCTACAGCTGCAAAACTGTAGATAAATGCCAATGCCAACACAGAATTGAGGAAAATTTACCACAAAATTCGTTTAACTTAGGGGGGAGGGAAAGGAGGGAGATGCAGTGAGGTGAAATGAAACGTGACAATTCTCTGTGGCAGCACTGGTTCAGGTTCACCATGTTCTGCAAAGCACTGTGAGCCCCAATAATCAATCCTTCATCAGATGTCACTGGGTTTCCACAGTAATTCCCTATACTGTTACAAGTTTCCTTTCTATCTGATCCAAGTGAAGCACATTTTCTCTAATAAACTAAATTTCTCACTAGAATATGACAAAAGGAGACATTAAAACTTGAGAATAATTGTCACATAACTGACAGAGAACTGCTTTCTCTTACTCCAAGCTTATCACCATGGTAGGGAAGGTTTGAGGCTTTTTCTCTCTTAACCTAACCACACTGTTTTATTAATCCTCCACAAATGTAGCTGTAACATTAAAAAAAAAAAAAAATTTAAAACAGGAACAAGCTGTCCATTTCGACCATAAGGCCATCAATAAAATCAGCCAGGCAGAAAATTTTACACTGCAAATCATGTTCCCTTCTTCCTAATTAAACTAACAACAATAATAGGTGAGAATAAAACTGGTACTTCTACTCTATATTAAATTAGCAGCATGTGAAGAAGCAAATAATTTAAAGTTCCAACAGAAGAAGCTAATAATTTAAAGTTTTCCAACAGACATTACAATGAATGAGCATGCAGAAAGATAGAACATTTTTTCCTTCACAGAAAAAAGTTCTCTCTGTCTGATAGGTCAAAAAAAAACCACTTTCTGAAAGTAAGTTTTTTAAAAAAAAGACCTTTAATGCTTAATAAATCTTAGAATACTGTTGTGAAACACCATTCTAAGACCAGCGTTTTATAGTAGCTTTTATGCAGTTAAATTGGAATTTTTCAGTGTGAATAAAGCACATTATGGTGCTCTTCCTCTTACTGCCATTCACTTTTATCCTTTCTCAACACTGTTATATAATTTTGACACTGGCATCAGAGATAATGCCAGAGAGCATAAGAATCATCTGAGTTTCAAAAGGATTTTCCCAACCTATATATCTGTTTGAACAGTGTTTATATAAATATGCATACACAAAAAAAGAAGTTAAATGGAACAATTAAAAGCAATTATTATCCTTTAGCATGTAGGTATTACTTCAGAATTTTGTATTATGCAGTTCACAAGGGGAAATCTAGACACACATGGTAGGTTATTTACAGAAAATTAGGGTCCATTTTTAATTATTACCTCTAACTGCAACATGTATATCTTTAAGAGAGAACCCTATATTTAATGATGAACTAAGTTACTACATTTAAAAACAATACTACCGAATGAAAATAATACACCAATATTAAAGAACCTTTAAAATAACTAATTTTTTGTTGGTTTTGCTCTTCTACTGTGTGGTAAAAACAGCAAGTCTGTGCTAAAAAACTGTTTCATCACAATTACCACAGTGAGGAATTTCTGGTTTCAATTTTTATCCCCTTTAGGGTACCACAACTACATACAAAAATGGAAAAAGTCATGGTGCTCCAAACACACATGAAATGCTAGTACTTGACAAGAGATCTTATGTACATAACTTGAAGGAAAAAAGATGAGGCTTTGTTTATTTTGGAAAATACACATTTTTCTTCCTGAAAAAACAAAAATCACTTTTTTCACTTTAAAAAAATCAGCACTCTTTGTACACGATCCAAATGATTTGAAAGTGACTTACTGATGTAGTATTCTTGCACAATGCTTGTGTAACCATATATGGAAGAATATCCAAAAATGACAATCATAACCACATCTCTGCTGTCCAGCTCTACTATGTGTGCTGAATGACCTTCCACAGCATACTGCTGCCCATGGACAAGGACTGCAGGAATTCTGGTACTCCATGTTTGGCTGGGTATGTTGAAAACCCACAGTTCATCAGTGACATTGCCATAACTCGTTTCAATTTTGCCTCCATACATGTAGATGTCTTCCTGTAAAAATGGGAAGGGAGAGAGGAGAAAGAATATAACGGATTACAGAAAGATAACATCTGAACTGCATACTCCTCTGCTGAGCAATATTTCATAACTGAGCAATCTGACTTAAATCTTCACATTTAATCTTACATTAACCACTCAATATCAGACACTAATCCCAGACAATGATACTTAAACTAAACCAACAATGATAAGGAGTCTATTTCTCTGAAAAATAAACCTAGCCATGAAAATGACACCAAAATGAATCTCAAAGAGATTATTTCTACCAGAAAACCTTTAATTACATGGCTCTTCTAATCCATACTGAAGCATTCTATTTTTAAAAAAGCTAAACAGAAAGGATATTCCATTGTTTTCTTAAAGAACGGTTCACAGAATTAAAATGTGATTTGCCACACACTCTGTCTATGGGGATTTCGTTAAGCACGTGCACAAGAGAGAACATTCTCTCCTACTAGCAAAGTAACTTAAGTTCTGAGAAAATCCAGTCGCCAGAACCCAAAGAAAAGGAACAATGTGTATATGGAATCACAGACTGATCTGGGTTGGAAGGTGCCTTAAAGATCATCTTCTTCCACCCCCACCACCATGGGCAGGGACACACCTTCCACTATCCCAGGTTGTCCAGCCTCACCTTGGACACTTCCAGGGATGGGGCAGCCACAGCTTCTCTGGACAGCCTGTGCCAGGCCCCCCCACCCTCACACTGGAGAACTTCTCACCAGTACCTAAACCAAACCTGCCCTCACACAGTTTGCAGCCATCTCCCCTGGTCCTACCTCTCCATGCCATTGTAAAACATCACCCTCCAGCTCTCTTGTAGGTACAGGAAGGTGCTATAAGGTGTCACCTGAGCCTTCTCTATTCCAGGCTGAACAACCCCAACTCTTCCAGCCTGTCCTCTGGAGAGATGCTTCAGACATGTGATGACCTTGGTGGCCCCTCCTCAGGTCTTGCTCCAACAGTGCTTCCTATGCTGGGTGTCCCAGATCTGGACACAAGGCTCCATGAGAGCAGAGCAGAGGGGCAGAATCACCTCCCTCAACCTGCTGCTCGTGCTGCTTCTGATGGATGTGGCTGGCTCCTCTTGAGCACATTTACTAAAATCAAGTCCCACAGGGGAGTACTTTGAGTTCTTTTTAAGGAATGCAAAACAGATATTCCAGCCATCACGAACCACACACCTCAAGCAGCAGAGCCATCTGTTCTGGTAAGTAATGAGTGATTTACTTAAATATTGACTGAAAGCAAATCCTACTGAATTTCGCTTCATCTGGATTTGCAAGCCAAGGTATGCAAAGTCACAGAACAAATTCCAGATTGTTGGCTTCACAGACTTGCTCAAGGACAGTTTATACTGGATGGAAAAAAAAAAAAACTTCCTCTGGTTCTGAGATTGATACTCAGTCTTTGCTAGGACATAACCACCCCACACACTCTGCATCCCATTCACATGCTGTACAGTTGGGAGTTGTCTTCTGCATTCTGCAATGTAATGTTCTAGAGCTTACCCTAAACTCAGCCTTACCAGGTTTAAATTTAAAAAAGAATAAAAAAGACAAAAAAAAACCAAACAAAAACCCCCCAAATTTAAAAAAACAAACAAACAAACAAACAAGCAAGCAAACAAAACAAACAAACAAACAAAAAAAGGAAGCTGCAGGTTTAGCACAGCTGGCAAAGTTTGACTTGGCATGAAATACTCAGAAAAAGAGGCTAGAAGATAAGGAAACTACCAAAGAAGTTTCTGCATCAATCATACAGAAATTTCAGACACTGTAAAAGGAGTTGATAGATTTGTTAACATAGACATGTAAATTTAAGGTTATTATCATCGTACATATCAAGAGATGTAAACTCTTGACTCTTTTTGAATGGGCAGGCATGGCAAATGTAGGTGATCAGCAGAATAAGCCTTTTCAGTCCAGCAAAACAAAGGCTTTAGAGGGTTATAATGCTGTCCCATAGAGCTGTGGTTGATGGTAAGGAACAGAACCCAGAACAGTAAGAAAAGACTCCTCATTACCCAGAGAGATTAGTCAGCAAATGCCTGACCAAACTGTCTGATGCACTTCAACAGTACACTTGAAATTTCTGCAAAATTTTCAACTATTTTTTCATTTGAGTCAGGTGAATATTTCTGGATTTGGAATTTAAATCTTTCCTATGCAGGGATCCTCTGTGCTACTGTTGGTGTTTGAACAAAAGATGTTCACAGAAGGAATTTGTCGTAGGATTAGAGAGATATGTATCTGAACCCATTCTTTTCCTAAGAGATAAAACATTTCAAAGAGCTTGGTAAAGACCCACAAAAACCAAAGAAGGATGATCCAAAGGAATGGCTTGAATAAATATTCTTCTTGAAAGGATCCTATATGGCTCATTCCTTACAATATCATATAGATCTCCAAAGTCAAATCAGCATCACTAAAATTGTGAACTTATTTTCAAATGCTGATAACTGACTATGGCATAAAGAGAGAACTAATTAAGGAGCTGTAGGGGCTGTACAACAGTATTTCAGAAAGCATATATATTTCTAACACTGAGGAAAGACACTTTAAAAAAAAAAAAAGGTGACCTAAAGAGCTGTATGAACTTTGAAATGATTTCTCAGACAGCTGACAACAGCAGTGTCCTCCTCACAGTTTTGCTTAAATGATTCAAAGTTCAGATAAAAGAACACTTCTGTGAGGAGCAATCTTTTAGGTGACACAGCAGATCCTGTATACAAGAATATTCACAGAGAAAAAGAGAAGAAGGTCATGACAAGTGCTTTATCAGCCACAAAACCAGATTTAACTAAGCTTTGCTAAGGGCTATTTCTAAGATTAAGAAACTCCTAGAGCTGGTGAAAAACGCTTTAAAAGTGGTGATTAGTTGAACATGGAGAAAACAAGCTAGGAGAGCAGTCAGTGGAAGAAATACAGAACTCAAATTAAAAAATGTTACATGCATAATTATACAGGGCAAAACCCATCCTCCTAAGCACATGAAGACAGACATTTATTTGGAAAGCCTTATAAGGAATAGATTGTAGGAATGATACAAGTGCAAATGGTCCCATGCAGCAGAAAAATTGTGACAGAAGAGTCCCTTTATAAATGTTATACTACCTTTATAAATGATTTATATACTAAATATAAACCAAGGTACATGCTAAAGGTGAGGCTTCCTGGAAGACACAACACATAAGATACAGAGTTTCAAGTATGCTAGTACACAAACACTGCTGACCTTTACCTGAATTAAGCATAGTAGATATTTGTTTATAAAAGAGCAAACCAAGCAGGACTGCAAAGTAAAATAATATTTTTTTAAAGACAACAAAAATTATAAAATTGAGAGTCTTTGTGAAATTAGTGCCAAAAAAAGTGTGAAGAATCTGGCCCAAATTAAAGATCTTAAAAACTGTCCTCAGGCTAGAGGAGAGTGAAGAATAAGAAGCAGATTTTTCCATGGAAGAGAAAACAAAACAGGTAGATAAGCACCAAGAAGATACAAGGTCTCCAACACATTTGTATTTTAAAGTTCTGATACCAGGCATCAAAAATAATACCTTCAATTACAGTGTGGGAAAGCAAAGTTGAACATTTACTCAACAAATCAACCTTGGCTGTATTATATACATTACATCATATGTGTAACATTCTCTAGGAATTTACAGGAACCTTGAAAGATCTTGTGGTTTTTAAACTAAAATTTCATATAACTATTACTTTATGCAAATTCAAGTATAGAAAAGTGCATTGTTTGTTGAACTTCAGAGTTCCTGCTCAGTAGGGAAATCCAGAAAAATGAGAAATTTCTTCCTGTAAACAGAGCAGGTCGACAGCTCACTCCATCATGACATCCCCACCTACAGATACATCAGTTGGTTTCTTGGCAGGTGTTCAGGTCCAAGCCAACAAAACAGCCAGTGCAGCTCCTGTTTGCTTCATTGGAACTAAACCTTTCCAATAAATGTTTCCATTTTCTCAAATTGCATTTTTTCCCTGAAAAAAGTACTTCAGTGGAAAATTTTGATGAACCATAATGATAAAAAAAATGATAAAAAGTATATGATCTGTAAATATTTGAGTGTGCATATTGGAGAATGAGGATGACAGCAGAAGGCAGGAATGATAAGACCAAAGCCAGGATTTGAACACAACAGTTAAATCACATTTCTCAAAAGAAGAAAACATTCATTTGATCTAGGATTTCTCTTATAGAGTAATGAATGACATGCACATTTTTGACTGAACAAAATAAGACCAAGAGAATAACTCAAATATAGGTGAAAAAGTAAACTGTCACAATTTGAATGTTGAAAGAATAAATACAACTTACACCCATAAAATTCCTTTTAATTTCTTCATCTTATTGATACCACCATCATCTCTAGAGACGATGCTTGTTAAATAACCAAACAATTCAAATAAAATTAAATGCCTGGTGGGAGAGGTTAAAAAAGAGGGAGCCAGACTCTTCCCAAGGTAATCCAGCAAATAAACCAGACGTGATGTGGACAACTTGGATTACAAGAAATTCAATTTAATTATAAGAATAAACGTTTCTCTTTTCTCATTGAGAATGGTCAAGACCAGAAGAGGTTGCTCAAAGATCCTTGACAGAGGAGCATTCTACAGTGAGGAAAAATGAAATAGTTTAAGGAGGATGTTTTAAAAGATCACCAAAAGACCAGGAGCACCCACTTGTCCCTTAAGTCCCAATCAACAGACTGTACACCAGAGCAGAGTAACACTTGTGCACACCTCACACTGAATCCTGAACAAACAGCCAAAATCATTCATTCCAATGACCTTGGACTTGTTCTCTTCCCTACATCTTATCTCAGTGTTAATATTGATTTTATATTTAATATAAATGCAGTAATTCAAGAATTCTAAAACTTATCATATTTTTATTCCTAAGACTTCACAATTTTTCTTTTTCCTAAAGGAACAATACTTAACTGCTCAGGCTGTACCTTGGAATGACAAACTCTT